GTCCTGTTGATGAGAGATGGGGAAAAGGAAGGTCTATTCAGCATAGATTTCTATGACAATATTCAACCATGACTATGACAACCTGAAAGTATTCCTTTCTTTAATGGTACAATTTCAGCAAACGTCGAGAAGGCAGTAAACGCGTTAAAATAACGAAGATACCAAAGTGGTATGTTTTTACCCGAACACCCTGTACATAGCGAGTCCCAATCGAACAGCCACCCTTCGTTCTCTTCTCGATTCTCCTTTCCTACGTGAGGGTCTCTCAACAAATAGACCTGCCGCCTGGAAATGGTTGTAGCCTGTGCGAGCAAACACGTACAGGCGTTTCGAAGATTGTGTTATTTTTACGCGCAGTGAATCGCTTCGTTTCCCCGTCTTTAGACAAATAAATCCTTCGACCGTGGTCAAGCAGTATTCAAACGAACGCCGCTGACCGTTTATTTATTATATTAGCGTTCTAATAGGAATTCCTGACCAACTATTCCGGAGAAAACTCTATTTACAATTTGATCTACGCTAAATGGGTGTGCAAATAAACAGTCAAATTTGCAAGAAATAATATTTTAGAAAATTTGCGTGCGGCACAACGCAGTTCTGTCCATTAGCATATGTCAGGAGGTGGACTTTTTCGACGAAATTAAAAAATTTCAAATCGTTCTGGAAAAATTATTTTTAGTTGCAGAGGTCAATTTCAATCATTTTTGGAGAATAGACATACCCCTGAATTCCTAAGCACTTTCGAGAAAAAAATTCGAGTAGGTGCTAAGATTTTTCGACGAAATTAAAAAATTTCAAATCGTTCTAAAAAAATTATTTTTAGTTCCGGGAGTCTATTACAATCATTTTTGATGAATAGATATATCCCCGAATTCCTAACTAGTTTCGAGAAAAAAATTCGAGTAGGTGTAGAAATTTTCGACAAAATTAAAAAATTTCAAATCGTTCTGGAAAAATTATTTTCATTTGCAGGGGTCGATTACAATCATTTTTGGTGAATAGACCTACCCATGAATTCCTAAGCACTTTCGAGAAAAAAATTCATTACTGAAAATACAATCTATGGCCAGAAATGTAAACATGCGTATCTTTAAAACGCCATAACATCTGAACGGATTGGAGGATTTTAATGTTTCAAAAGGCAAACGACGCGTATTTTAATCAAGAATATGTAGAAATTCCAAAAATATTCAAAAAGTTGCTCTATAACCCCTTAAACTGAGAAAACCCCCATAAAAATGGTCCAATTCCTCGTTTCTATCGCTTCATACGTGGGTACAGTCCAACTATCCGGCGTATTTTACCTTCTGGCATCGCCCCAGTACCAAGTACGCCGGATAATCGTAATTTTACTGCGCCTCGAAGCCGGTAAAAGCATCCGTACGAGTAAACCGCGCGCGTGCTGACAAGATGATAAATTTCCATAAGAGTATTCGTAATTCGACGCACGCCTTGGAAGCTTAAAGTGCACTGTGCACTTTTCCGTTTGGTCCGCCGGCACTCGATATCCCATTCGATGGGGTCGCCCACGCAGCAGCCACGTACACGTTGCGAGAACATGAACACGATCGCGCGCAGTGGCTCCTCATTCTCTCCCCCCACCGTGTGTTGGCGATTTATGGTAAGGGCACCGTCTGCTTTGTGTGTTAGTCACCGACCGTGAGGGGTGAAAAGGGACTGGCGGGATTGTTCGAGCGGGGGAGGGAAGGGGAGGGGTGGCGGGGGGGAAAAAAAAATTGAAGGAAAGAAAAGGTGGAACGCACACACGATCGGAACCGTGCGTGTGCGCTCTCGTGTTCAACAGGCCCGACGTGTTTACTTTTGCATACACGATGCTGCGTGTTAAGAGCATAACCATTCCTGTCGCGGATTATTACACCGGCAATAGAGAGTCCCCGTCGTCGACTCGCACGTGTTTTCTCTCTTTTTCCATCGCGCGACCGTGTTTCCCTTCGTCCCGTTCGATCCGCGGCGGTTCGCTTTCGAGCAACCGATTTTCTTAATTGCGCTTAACCAGCCCCCCCTCGGCCGATCGAATCCGAGGATATCATTGCGGAGAGGAATAGCCGATACTTTCGTAATTGATCGAGAAAAGAGGCGAAAAAGGGCTCCTGGGGGATCCCCACCACCGTTAGAAAATCTCATCTCCGGTTCGTATTTTGTTAAACGAGTGTTCTGTCCTGGATTGGAAATACTGTGATCTGAACTGTATCGAGGGAGGTTACCGTTCCAAGAATTACTCTCATCTCTGTTTATTGCGAACGAAAGTGAGAAACACTGAGAGTACACACCGTATCTGATATTAAATAAAAATACTGTCATAGGAAGTATATAGCTCGTTATTACCGTATACTATCTTTAAACGAAAATTTGTAAATACATCGTGTAATAAAGCATACAAAGTTATCGTGAATATCAGTTTCACAGTGTGCATTATCTAAGAAACAAGAACACGGTAAATATAAGTGTAGAAATAATAAACGCTGATAATTCTCAGTGCAAACGGAAAGAAGATAGGGCAATAAGACGCATAAAATACAGGGAAATCAGGTATGCGGCTTGCTTGCTCTACCTGCGTTGCAAATGGGGGACAAGAGTACCTGTTCTATATACAGTAATGGTGGAATATATGGCCGAAAATGGGACCCTTAGCCAGGGCGTTTATGGAGTAGATGGATCGATACTAATTACGGAAACAGCTCGAGTCGACTGTCGAATGTAGAAAAGGACAGCGAATGGAAGAGAAGGAGGTCCTTTGTGACGTGTCAAGAGGAACCTCCCCTAACTAGGGAACGACACAAACTGTCCGACTTCGATTTTAATGTGCTTTTGCAGAATGATAACATAATGATCTCTTTTTCGTGTATGTAAAATATTAAGCGTACACTTGACACTTTTTAAGATATAAATAATTAAAATGGTGCAATTGTACGTCTCGTAAAATTTACTATCAATTCAGTTCCTAAGCTTTTGTGTATAGAACGTGTCTGTGGGAGTTACGTTTTCGAATATATATAATAAATAATTAAAATGGGGCAATTGTACGTCTCGTAAAATTTAATATCAATTCAGTTCCTAAGCTTTTGTGTATAGAACGTGTCTGTGGGAGTTACGTTTTCGAACATCTGTTTCGAATTTTTATAGAACGTTAAAAGCAATCGAAGCGTTAGTGTTGGCAACATAAATGAGTACACGACGAGGGCAGTGAACGCGTTAAGAGGCTTAAGAAACAATTACCCTTGCAGATAAGGAGCTACGCCGGCGTTGGGTGCTTTAATGAGAAATCATGAGAATTTCTATCAGAAACTCTCAAACTGTGGAACGATCCGTGTTTAGACGATAAACTGACATTCATAAAGTGTTCGAAACGAAAGTTAACTCCATAATATAAAATGGAAAACGTCGTGATCTCCTTTTCATTAAGCATTTTAATTCTTCAACGGAATAAAATGATGAATTTTGTGTTTTACAATTAGCCTGCTGATTATTGAAAGATATATAGAAACAGAAAGGAAAAGATATATTATCTACTCCTCGAGAAAGCTTTAGGAGAAGAATGGTAAAAAATAACACCCCAGTTTTGCAAATATCATGTTGAAAATGCGCGTGAATACCCTACAAGATATTAACACAAGCTGTACATATTAAATATAAATTTGTATGTATCCTATGTCTGTATTTTAGTCATTCACTGGACAAAAATATTTTGTCCACCCGTTGTATAGCAGTCTGACTATCCCAGCTCAGAAACAGTAGCCGTGTAACTACCCACAAACACGTATAGACAAATCTCAATGTAATTGTAATACTTCTTTTATGCAAATATCTCCAAAGTTAAGGATGATCGCGAATATCTTCAAAAGAAAAAAAAATCGTTCTGATCCATCCTTTTCTGTTAAAAACTAGCAAAAGCACATTACTCTTCAAAGCTCCCCCATTAAAATTTCTATACAATTTAAAAAAAGCAAACACGTTTGGAGCAAAGTGACTAAACCGCAAAATTGCCTGCAGTTAGGGGCTTTCGCGATAAACTAGGAGAGAAACGCGCCTGGTAGAATCTATTCTCTCCCTGTCACATATATGCCACTAATATTTCCGACGGTTCGACGTACGTACGCGACGGTAATCCCATCACGAACGTGATTTATGTTGCACATAATTTCCGAGCCTTATGGCGAATAGTACCGGGAGGATGCGCCCGTACGGTTAATGCAGATCACTGCAGGACTTTCATGCTCTCGTCTGGTTCCATGAAGTCAATAATTTATTACGATGGGCTTTGGCCCGAGCGAGAGTCAATATTGACCGCGCTGGGATAGAGGATACGGCGCCGTTCGCCGCGGAGTACAACAAATTCAATTGCCCACTGCTCCATACGCAAATGTTTGCGACTGTTTTCCTCAGGGTCCGGCTTACGCACGGTACGAAATTAAAAAATACGTACGAAAAGAGGAACGTGCCACTCGAGCATCGAATGGAACGTGATCGACCATTAACGTCGTACGAAAATTTATTGGGAGGCGTGCTGCGTCCCGGGGATTTATTGTGCGGTCGTGCGTTATGGATTTTCGATATTTGCCGGTCGACACGATAAAAGTACCACCTCGACGACCAATGGACGAAACGCGAACTAAATGCCCGTCAACGTGTCGCCGAGATCGCGACGATGTTTCGTCGAACAGCGGCGCAGAGAAATGTCGGGAAACGCGAAACGTGGAACGTATCTTATCTGGAGAGAACCAGCCAGGGAAACGTATTCGAAGGATGCGCAGGAAGCGGTCCGATTCACTGTTTTCTTAACCACTTCCTGCCCGGAGAAAATTGTTTAACGTTCGCGAATGCCAGGGAACGTTCCACGCCATTCCGGCACGGATAAGTCGCCCACCGCGATTGATAACGGATCGAGGCTTTGAAAAGAGTCTTTTTTAAAAAAGATACGTGTGGTAAATATTCATGCAGTTAGAGATATTAATCTTCGTCGAGGTATGATTGTTTCCTACCTGGCGTTCGCACGCATGCTGAGGTGATGTTCTGCGTAACAAAATACAGGCACAACCTCTCTTTATATCGGAGCTGGACAACGAGTATTTCTTACGGGATTCGAAGCACCATTAATACCCGATGCAATCCAAACGAGCGCGCGTCAACGACTGACTGGAGCCTCGAGGCAGCACGAGCACGAGTTAAGAGTGGCACGAAGAGTGTCGGTAACCGCCGAAGACGCCCGAAGTCGCGTTTCAAGAGTTGATTTTTCACGACCCGCGACCCTACCGTTCCTCAACCCTTTCGTTTTGTCCCTAATTAAGATTGGTAAATACAGGTCGACCGGCGATACTTTGGGGTACTTACACGCAACTATTCCAACACGTATGCATCGAAAACGACACTTTTCTATCGCGACGTTTAATCCTTAAAAACCTGTTACATTTTCATATTTGTAAAACACCATGGAGCGACTTTATCGTTTTGAACGTTAAATCACAGACGAGGTATACGAGGTAGACCCTTCATCCAATGTATTCTTTCGGCCCATTACCATTTTCGCGTCACTCGCAACGTTACCAACAGATTTAGAAAAAAACACAAGAGGAAGTGAGACAGAAAATAAAATTACATAAATTTTATTATTTTTTAACGGAATGAAAGCTGTACGGTCCAGAATTGAGCATCAATCGATTAATTTCATTGGAATAACCAATCGATTGAGATTATTTAAAGATTTCAAAATTATTAAAATACGTAAGGATCTCATTGATAAATACACCGCAAATCCTCTATTTTTTATTTTAAATTGTAATGTATTATTTATTTAAAAACTAACTCGGCAAAAACGTATTTGCGACTCGAAATCAGTGTTATTAGACCGCATACCAGGACGAACAAGGTATGTGGAACTATAAGAAGAACGCAGCCATTAGCTCATATTATTTGCTATGTAATTAATAATGATATTAATTACATAGTAAATAATAATCCCCAGGTCTCACCACGAGGAGGTTGCTGCGACTGGAGACCCACCCTAGCCTCGCCCCAACCACCCTTCCTTTGGCGAGGAATTCGAATACCTATCCAAGAGAGAAACTATCGAAAAGTTAGAAATGAGCTAGAAAGAAACAAGTTCTTAAAAGAACTGTCCAATCAAGAGATGAAAGGCCTAACGAAACGTCGATACATGTGAGATGATACACATGTTTTCTAGAAACGAAATTGAAATGTGCCTAACAAAATGTTGATACATGTGAGATAAACCAGCACATGTTTTCTAGAAACGAAATTGGAATGTGCAACTGCACGTACGAACTCTGATCCATGAAGAGATCAAAAACCTAATAAAATGTTGATACGTGTGAGATAAACCAGCACATGTTTTCGAGAAACGAAATTGGAATGTGCGACTGCACGTACGAATCCTGATTACTAAAGTATCAATGTGTACTTTAATCCTAATTGTTCCTTCTGAAATAAATACTTGCATTATGACAGTGTCTAACAAGACACTTGTACAAAACGAAGAAAGGATCCTGAAGATCCAACCATAAATGTGCAACTGCACGTATGGACCTTGCATATTAGAATACTGATATGTATCTTAATATTAATTCCCACTTAAATTTACGCACCGTTTCGGTAATACTTAACAAACGGCAGGGGAACGCTTTTTTATCTTATAATCTATATACATTTGTACTTATGTTCTAACGCAATCTGTAGAAACATGAAGAAATATGATGAAATATTTTCTTCTTGGTGTCTTCATCAATCCCACGATGTTTTTCTAAAACATATATTCATATACAATAAATATGACCGACATGAAACGAAGAAATATGACAAGATATTTTCTTCTTGGTGTCTTCGTCACTCCCACGATGTTTTCCTGAAACAAAAACTCATCCAATAAAATATGTAACTCATATAAAACAAATAAATATGAAAAAATATTTCTTCTTGGTGTCTTGATTAATCCCACGATGTTTCCCTGAAACATAAATCAGACAATAAATAAAATTGTATGAAATATTTTTCTAAGAACGATCAAGATGGAATCCGTGTACTATTTCCAATTCCATTCTTCAATGATTTTATATCCTGTAACAAGAACTTGTTCAAAGGATTAATAGCTGAAATGAAAGTGTATTAATGGACACAGAAAAAAATAATATTATGATATGAAATTAATATTTGAACTGAAGCTTCCACGAGCAAAAATTGATATTAAAGAGTTTAAAAACACAAATACTATGTAATTGAAATTAAATGAAAAGTTAAATTCGTCTCAGTGTTAAGATAAATACGAAATATTCATTTATCAAATAAAAAATTTTTCACAACGTATACATTGCAATAATTACATTTTACTGTATTCAAAACTAAATTAAGTTCATACAGAACAAGCAATAGCGATCGAAAATGTCGATTCTACGCGGAAATTAACTCTCAATATGAAATATCGAATTGCAATTTGCATACCCTTTTGATACAAGCATTCTATTTTCCATCAATTAAAACAATGATCGCGAGCAAACTTTGATTTATGCAAAGAATACAGAATATTTATAAAAAAAATCCACTATTTATAAATAACAGTTAGATTGAAAAGGTTATTATATCCCGTAAAAATTATCAACTATAATAATGAATAATTGGTGATATATATATGAATCATGAATTTAATCTATGACACAATTAATTACAATACAGCAATTTTAAATGCATCACAAATCTGTGATAAAAATATATTCATAAAAATTACAGGTTTTAACACGTTTTGAAAAAGAAAATAATTGGTCTGTTTACACCAGTACTTTCAAGCAGTGTTTTCATTGACAAAGATATAAAGAAAAGGATATATTTTCCACTCATAAATTCAAAAAACAACCCGTGAGTGGATTTCTTTCGCAACGCTAATTTATTAAATATAAAACTATACGCGAGTGGTGCTTATTATTCGTAAAATGAATCACACAGGACTCCTTTATTAATTAAATCGCGAGCACCCATATTCAATCATACGCAACACTAATTTTAATAATAATGTTGAGCCATTCGAGGCTTTTTTGAATCCCAGCTGCATCGTGATGATCCTGGTGCAGTGGCCAACGTTTTGGCCAGCTTTTTTGGGCATTGAATCGCAACCCTAATTGATAAAAAACGCGACAAGTCAAGATCGCAACGCTAGTTTATAATATAAAAATTCCAAACGCGATTTATAACAATAAAAGCAACCGCGAATGGTGATTATTCGCAACACTACCCTGAAAAGTAAACGCGAAAAATAGTAATTCGCAACGCTAAGAGCAAACCGATCAGTTAATTCGCAACGCTATTCTTAAATAACGATAAAAGCAATCGCGTATGGAATTCGTAACGCTAACCTGAAAAGGAAACGCGAAAAATAGGAATTCGCAACTCTACAACCAAACGCGATTATTGTATATTCGCAACTCTATCTTTAATGGAAATATATATGTTTCGCAACGCTAATTCAAATCGCGTTGCCCAAAAACGCTGGATCAGGTGCTGGCGTCTTCGGTTGTAGCTATAAACATACATGCACAAAATAAACTAACTACATCAAGCTACTTCAAATTACAACAGAGTGGCACGTATGGGGATGAAGCTAGACGTTTTAAATATCGCAACACTACGGGGCAACAACGCGAGAAATCAACAATCGCAACGCTAATTTATAATAGAAAAATTCCAAACGCGACTTGTAACAATAAAAGCAATCGCGAACAATAATTATTCGCAACACTACCCTGAAAAGCAAACGCGAAAAATAGTGATTCGCTACTCTAACAGCAATCGCGTTTACTAATAATTCGTTAACGCTATTTTTAAAGCAAACTCCCGGTTCCTAGGTTTGCATAAAATCAATCGCGAATCGTGTTTATTCGCAACACTGATATATCAACGCGATAAATATTTTTTCGCAACTCTACGAGCAAACGCGAACATTGTATATTATTCGCAACTCTAACTTTAATCAGGGGCTATTGGTACATGTACATGTACACGTACTGGCCACTAAATAAACTAACTACTACTAGTACTACAATTCGGGTAGAATTTGGGCATTGAAAATATCGCAACTCTAAAGAAAAAATCACACGATTAATCAAGATCGCAACGCTAATTTATAGTATGAAAATTGCAAACGCGGTTGATGTCCATTATATGTATAAAAGAGTAAAAAAGCAACGCGAATCGTGATTGTTCGCAACACTACCCTGAAAAGGAAACGCGAAAAATGGTAATTCGCAACTCTACGAGCAATCGCGTTTATTAATAATTCGTAACGCTACTTTTAAAGCAAACTCCCGGTACCTAAGTTTGCATGAAAACAATCGCGAATGGTAATTATTCGCAACGCTACCCTGAAAAGGAAACGCGAAAAATAGCAATTCGCAACTCTAAAAGCAAACGCGATTATTGGATACTCGCAACTCTATGTATATCATAACCGCGAGTTATGGGGAGGGATGGCTGGCATGTATGGTGCGATCATGTACCATCAGGTACATGCATACGTGAGCCAGCCAGAAAAATAAACTAACTACAACTACAGACGAGTTAAGTGACAAAGTAGTAAGAGGAATGACTTTCCATCCTCATCCGAGGATGAAGATGAAAAGCCATTTGTTGTAGCCCACTCTTGAGACAGTTTGTCAGGGCCTCTTCAGCTCATTGTGAGCCTTTTCTTTCTTCGGCGGTCCTGCCGATGCCTGAAACTTACTTAAGACTTGGCTCGAGATTTTGTGCAATACGTAGTCTTCCAACAATATACGAATTGTTGCAAGAGCATACGTGGTGAATCTCGAGCGGGACGAACGTTTCGAAAGGGACCTAATCACGACCGCGAACGCGAGAGAGCGACTTTAAGAGTCGCGCGATTCGAGGAGTCGAAAATAAAGCCGAAACAAACAGCACATGTACACCGTTTGAATCAGCAAAATTTCTACTCTCGAAATCGTAACTACAGGAACAGAACTGCCACGCGAAAACGCGCCTACCCGAATTACTAATGTGGACAGTCCTGCCCTGACCCTACCTACTTAGATTAAGCACACACACCAGAAAGTTACCTACCTACCTAACGCTATATTTAAAAAATTGCAAAACTCAGTCTCTCAAACAAACACTCCACGGTTCTCATTCTCTATGTCCGGGCGCGACCTAAACTAGAGAGGACTCCCCGGGGTTCCTCCGACACCCGGACACAACCTCATTCATACTCTAATTGTGTACGTACCAGTTTTTGCAGTGGACTGACAAAGCTAGTGCCCATTGCGTACTTTTATTATTTATGTAAAACATTTTCATATATCTAATATAGTCTTTATTAAAATATACTCTATAATATACTCTATATAAGATTGAAAAGCTAATTCATTATGCATTTTGCAATATTATTGGCGTATATGCAATACGAACAATTGCCAAGTAAATAATAACTATAAGTTTAATATTATTATTGTGACTAGTATGAATCTAATGTCAAAAAATTCTGTATCTGAATTGTAATAAACTTTTGAAACGATGCACTTCCACATCCTAACCACAAACACACATATGTGGACAGTACATCGTGCACGATACACTAGCATTGTCAGTCGTACGGATAAATTATTATTATAAATGTTACAAACTAAGTCATCGTGCCCCGTTGCCTTCGCTCGTGCAAATAACACTTGGGCATGTGCATGAACTTAGGCAACGAACACGGAAAAGTATCCTGAAAATCCTGACTAGAAAAACTGGTTATTAATAATTAACTAAACGGTATCTATTCTCAATTAAAATGACTCGACTTGTTATATGTAATATATCAACAACAGAGTACGTTAATATTGAAAGATATTATTATTCAAAAAAAATTTGTGACTGAAATTTAATTGTTCAAAATGTAAGACTTTAATAAAAATTTCATGATAAAATAATCTACTTTGCAAATTGAAATAAATTTATTAAATTATTATTCAAAATATTCAATTAACCTCGGTCGATTCTGACGTCAAAGTAAATTTTTTAAAAAATAAAATTAACATGCATGTTCCTTTGAGTTCAAAATCGACCAGTCGCGAAACGCCTTCTTGCACATAAAATACATCAAATGATGTATTAATTGATAAAACGAATATTTAATAAATTATATTAATGATGTAAGATATTTTACTCAATCGTACGATTAATATAATGTGAAAACATTATATTAATTCATATTCTACTCAATTATCTAATTCATATAAAGATAATAAACATATTTCATATATTGTATCAAAATTGTGTAATAATCATATTGTGTAATATTTATTGATAACATTAAAAAACGCGAGTGCAAGAAGACCCTAGCCTGCACTAAAAATATATAATTCATGGGTATTTTTCATACCCGCGGTCACTTAACTCGTCAAAAATACTAAGTATACAACTGGTCGCCCGTGTTGATTCGGATCTTTCATCCTACAACATGGTTGGGGACCAGAGGAACATAAATAGCATGCAACTCACGAGTGATGAACTTGTACCTCTGGGATGACTGCATAATTATGCTGCTGCTGTCCAGTGGAAGTCATCAGTGCCCCCTGCATGGTCCTGCTATAAAGAATAAGAAAGCAATTATAATCTATTGTTAAAATTATAGAGATTTTTAATTAACAAATTTCAAAGTATAAATCTATACTTACGTTGTTCGCTCGTGGTCCACCGCCCGATACCCCCCCGGGTACTGCTGCTGGATACCAAGATCAGGTTCAGAAACTGTAAGAAAACTGTAAGAAAACAATTAGAATCTATTGTTAAAATTATAGAGATTTTTAATTAACAAATTTCAAAGTATAAATTTATACTTACATTGTTTGCTCGTGGAGCATCGCCAAATAATCCTCTTCAGTGATGCACTGACTCTAATTCCGATAACGAAGAGTTTAAATTTCAAATTGAAAAAATAATTGATTTGATTAGAAAATAATAAATTAGATTACCGCGACCGAAGATTGAAATCGGCGAACAAATGATTCTATTATCGCGATTCAGAAAACAGAAAGAGCCACGATGCTCTGGAAATAATTTAATACCGCGTAAGAAACACTGCTTCTACTCTCGCGTTTGTCTATCACCGTGAACGATAACGTGCTTGGGGTCACTTTGCCCCGAAAAACAAACTTGTTGCTACGCACAATCACTGAATCTACCGGCCGCATTGCGCTCGGCCAACAAATTTCCTGGAAAGAAAAGAGCTGAAAGAAAAGGGACAGGAGACAAGAAATACAACAAGCACATCTGTGCTTTGCCTATCGATTTTTGTTTTTCTTCTTACTAGAGTTCGACAACGAAAACACTGCTTTACTTAGTACTGATGTATACATAGTTTGTCCCGTACAAGATCAATGCCACGAAGGCGAAATATTCTCAATCACTGAGAATTTCAACGACAAAATATTATCTACGGAAACAATTATTCAATTTATAAATATTACATCACCAAATTTCATAATTAGAGTTGTAAGCATGATTATGTATACTTTATCGAACGTTAGAATATCCCGTAATTTTTATAAATATTCCGAAATTTGCAAGAATTAAAGTTTGCTAGTTATTTATGCTTGAATAGCATATTTCAACTTCGCAGTTACTACGTTTTCTGAAACTTGTATCGAAATATGTATGCAAATTGCAATTACAACAATTCATAAAGAAGTATAAACAATCAATTAAATAAATAACAGTCGGAAATATTTAATCGCGATCAGAATACAGTCTAATATAAACTATTTCAATCTATCGTTAATATCTACCGACGCCATTACTGTATACTTCGATATATATCGAAGTAGTTAAAAAGTTTGTTAATGATTTTAATATTTTATCTTAACAATGACCGACTACAAAATTAATATCATGCTTGCAACAAATAATGTTATAAAGCGATAAAAATGAATAAATATTAATATGAATGTTAATTTTTGTTATAATTGTTTAAACGTTACCAATAATGTTACCAATATTCTCTTCAAAATTTGTCGACTGGTCTGCCATCTGTTGTGGCGTCCTTTACGCGCCAATAAAACTTTTCATGGCGTCGAATTTCAATCAGAGACTGCAACAGAAATAAAATACAAATTAAATCATAATTAAACAATGATTGATTATAATGAGGGAATAGCAAAGGGTTAGAAATGCATACTTCGTTGGTCACGAAACGTCGACATGTCTTCACAGGTTTCAACATGTCTTCATAATTTCGAATTCCAATGGGAGACTGTAACAGAAACGAAATAACGATGCATTAAAGTACACACAAACGATTATTATAATTATGTACTGATTAAATCGAACCCGCATTACAAGAGATCGTAATTTGTACGCGAGTCGGAATAGTGGAACGATCAACAGGTTAGAAATACGTACCACGGTGGCGGAACGCCGATACGTCTCGACGTCAAAGAACGAATGATGGCCGATCGCTGTACTCGGTAATGCTCGCGCATACGGCGGCGTGGTGGGGGGAGCTCCGATGTCTCCCGAAGCTTGCATTACGAACCCGAGAGATGCCTCAGCTAGACACCGCGGATGGACTGATTTTAGCAAATTATTTACAACTTTAACTAGTCAAGGAATCGCGAATAATTCGTACTTTTCAACTCGTATGACCGCAATCCATGAGAAGAGGCCGCTAAAATCACCTCCGAATTTTCAGATCGGTATGGCAGTGAGATTGGGCCACGAAAGTCCATAAGGTAAAAGCACAGACGAGGTATACGACGTTATCATATCAGTAAAGAATAATACGATAGCGCTAATGGAACAACATGAACTATAATGTAACTTACCGATCAATTTAATTCAGTGGGGACCGTAAACAGAACGCTAATGTCACGGAAATCGTACATAACCTAAAACAAATAGGAAACAATTAGAAAAGTGACTGAACTACTTTATATTTAATGTAATTAAGAATGCCTCCCAAGTCTAAAACGGTACTGCTTTGTTTCTTTTCATTCTTTATAATTCTTTTTAATAATAACGATATGCTCTGTCGATCCTAACCTATATTCTATCGTAATTAACTAAAGTTGTCTGTATTTTTCAACAAATAACGTTACTTTCAGAATGTTAAAAAGTTAACGGTGAAGAACAAAAACACGGAACCACCGGAAGTAACAAATCCCACATGTTCGAACGCAGAAACATCGAGTGGTTTGAGCCTGGAAGCCGAGGATCAGTTCGAATTAGAATTATGTTGGTGCATCCAGCAATTGCAAACGGGCCTAGCTTCTGGCAAGCTTTCGGAGAAACAGGCACGCGATTTATACAGGAATATAAAGACTTTGAAGAGTAACACAGCGTCTCTGATCAAAAAGAGACAAATAATGCGAAACACTTTGGGGAACTACAGAGAGAAAATGTCGTTGGAGGAGCAGAAACATGGCAAAACCGCATCCTCTATGAAATTTATACCCCCAGCCACACAGAATAAAAGATGCGTATTTGTGAGAAAAGCTGCTTGCAAATTGATCACAGAAAAGCAACACTCTCATATCGACACGCTGCATTTCAGTTCAAATGAAAATGCTATCGACTCTGACAACATACAGACTGCATTTAAGTTTAATTTTCAACTTGTAGAATAAAGATACTGTAAATTTTGTGACGTGCGACTATCGATATGTATTTAAATAACATTATTATTTTAAGAAAATTTTATGAATGTTTTATCTATCCCAACAACGAAGTATTCCCAAGTACAACTTTCTTATTAATGTGCGATGATTCAAATGTTGTTTATAGTTGAATGTAATAGATATTTATGGGCTTGTTACTTTATGTATTCGTTTATATACTGCAACATTATCAATGATGTCAACATGGTCCTGTGGCGCAACGGATAACGCGTCTGACTACGGATCAGAAGATTCCAGGTTCGAATCCTGGCAGGATCGGTATTTTTTTCCATCGAGAACTTTTTGAGACGTCAACTACCGCGTCACTGTTTTGTATAATCATGGTATTATTAATTAAAAGTTTTAAATGATAAATTAAATACCTTCGTAAAGAAACTCAAGCATGAAAATTTCGAAATAAAATAACCGTTGTAGGGGTTCGAAGCGTTTAAAGCCGACAATGAAAATTCATTATGTAAATAAATATTTAGTTATGATATATTTAACAACCAGTAGTAACAAAGGTATTTCGTCTCTCTTACGTACTTATAGCAACAGAACAGCACTCTTTATCGTATGGTACAAGCTTGAATCCGTATATGACTATGTATATAATATATATGCATATAGGATGTCTCAAAAGTCTATCGCACAATTTTATTCGTCCATCGATAATGTTTCGGTGTAAAAAAAAACAATGCCACGAAACGCCGTTGTCGAAGAAATACTCTTTTCTCGGTCACAGAACCATAAACGTAAGAAACTTTACCACCGTCCAAACTTAAAAGAAATGCTATTCGTTAACATCTATGAACATAACCTTAACCGCGACGATCGCGATGATATGATTCGATCGATTACAAATCGTCAAAAAGAATGCACTAGACTCTTACGACGCCCTGTATAAATATACGTATTCTCCAAGGATATCCGTTGTTTTATCTTCTTTCCTTAATAACGTAACAGTGATATATGTATCTAGAAAAAAAAAAGAGAAATCAGTTCTTCCTCAGACCGGGGCCAACTGATTCAACTCATAAAAACTCGAATAATGACTTTTTTTTACGATTCTAAATAGAAATATTCTTTTATTAAAGAAATATGATTTTCCTAATATAGTCTTATATTAAATATATAATTCTTTATATCTGTTCATTTTTTTCATTAAATATTTCTTTGTTTCGTTTCTTTCTTTTTTTTTTTTTTTGTGTGTGTTTCCTTTCATCCGTCATACACGATAAACTGTTACGCCCGACAATTACGATTCAGTTTCACGCTCTCGACAAGATAAGCGCGGTATCATTTTTGGTCTTTGCAGAGCAATTTTATCGCTTCGGTCGTCTTTGGTAGAAGCACGCGTCTCCATGGAACGCTTATCCTCGTTATTCGATTTTTAAAGAATTTTCTCGGTCGCGTCTCTCTGTTCCCTGAGTCGGTGTACAACCATTTCAGTCTTCGCCGCCCCTCATTAATGCCACACTTTCTTCTCACAGCAATCAACAAACCCTTCAGACTCCTTTCTCTTCGTCCTTAAAGGCTAATTCGACGCTCAGCGACTCACAGACTTGTTATCACGCGTTAAAGTAATCGCCGATCCCTAATGGTCGCTAGTTGTCCTAATTCGAATACAAAATAAAGAAAAGAGGACACCAGACGACAATACGCGAAAAAAAATACATCGGAAACGTAGAGTACGATATTTTCGTACGAACCATCGTTAAAGTCACGATCGAGGTCGAAGATGCGCGGGGCACGAGAATTCGTTCTCATTTATCGAGACACTTAAGCCGATGTCTACGTGTCTTACGATTTATAATATATCTTAATAACGAAGAACCGATATTATGTAAAAAAGAAAGAGGAAGGAAATACACAATTAAAACATATTTTGTATTGTAAAACCTGATCGAATACTAGGCTATACTAAAATACGTTAACATTTTTGAAATCTTGTTAGTAAGATTAGGGCCTAAAAGAATTATTGAGTTTCTGATAAATGTTATCGACATTATAAAAATATAAATTTTGTAGTACTTTTTCAATCTCTCCAAGATTTTTGAAAGATCGACACCAGCGCCGCGCACCGTCGTCGTCAATTTTCGTAACAAAAGACCTCGTTCCACGTTTTCAATTCGCCTTTCCGCGAATTGCAAACAAATCCGCGAGTCACTCTACACAACCAATCGTCCAACAAAGACATTGAAAACGCACCAAAGAAGCAAACTTCTTCTCGACGGCGTTCGGCTTCGACTCCGCTCTGCGGCGAAAATCGACTGACGTATCGAAATTTTTCAAACTGACTTTCACGGGACAACGGTTTTGGACTAGAAGTTGTTCGAAGATTAGCGAAAGGGGATGGGGATGGGGAGTCGAAGCCTGTCGCATTAAAAATTTCTACGAAAATAAATCTCGGTACTCTGAACGTTCGCAAACCATTCGCTGATGAGCGCAACACTCTTCTGCTATATTTCTTCGCTGACAACGATTCGATGCTCCGTCCATTAAATCATTCTATATATAATTCTTGTTCATCGTTCGCAAACACGATCGAATCGAACTCGATTGGCTGCTCCGTGGACTCGGGGTCGGTGTCATCCCGCGCGACATATTGTTTCGCGCGCAGATTCAGCCGCCGAGGAGTGGGGGGTGGCCTTCAAGCGGCCCCGGGCGGCCAATTAATTTCGTTCCGACCGCCACACCACGTAAACGCATTCGTACGAAACGAAGGAATTTCGAGAAACATATATAGTACTTGATGACCTCATCGACCCTATAATCTAACACCCTAGAATGTACACATGTATGTTTTTCGTGTGTCGATCGTGTACAAGTATGTATATATGTATATACAGATATACATATATATATCCTACGCGTGTGTATATATATAATTTTTTTTTATATAATATTTTTATAAAGATTCAGGACTAAAAATCAATGTATAAGAATAGCATTCGATATATGCTAGTGAACAGAACCACCGTTTCGAATAGTCTGTAAAATCGACGCGCGCCTTGTCTCTCTCTCTCTCTCTCTCTCTCTCTCGCTCTCTCGTTCTCTCTCTCTCGCTTTCTGGTTCTCTCTCGGTTTCTCTCTTCCTCGTAGCGCGCGCCTCTTCCGTTAAATAAATAAGTTTTCCTCGCCGTTCTCGATCCTCGAGGGACGTGCGAATCGCACACACCTACTCGAAATTGTCTTTCCTTCCACTCGCCGATCGGTGGCGAGCATCTGAGGCACATTTGCTATGTATTTTCGGGCAGTGGGGGGGAGGGGAGAGGAATGAGGAGGTGGATGAGGGTGGAGAAGGAGTTACACGGGAAGTCTTCACTCGAGATGGCGTCGTGCGCAGCTCGGAGCTCACCGTGGGATTCCCCTTTATCATGGAACGATTGAGGTTAGGGGCGAGTTGTTAAAAGGCGACTCGGGACGTCTAGGAACACGCCCGGGGAAACGATGAAGCGCTTCAAACGTTTACGGTTGATCACAGACAACGTGACAAAGAAATCAACGCAAAATGGAGACTCTGACGCGTTTAGGATCGGTCCCGATCTTCCCCGTGGTTTGCGGCAAGGCGAAATAGGACACTGTACAAATCGCGCGCTAAAGATCGGACCGCGATTACGTCGATGGTTCCCCCCGTAATAAACAACGGTAATTATATAGATGGGGGTCCAACTCGCCGACTTCGATAATCGTGAAACACCTCAACAATTCGAAGTAATCTTTTTCTGTACGTGTTACCGTCGCTTTAGCGTCAGAGATATTCGTGCAAAAATTGCTACTATTACATTGAACTCTGTAAACTTAAAGATTTAATTTAACCGACTTTAATAACAATGAATCGGTTTAATTAACCGAACGTAACTAATTGATTATCGGTTAATTACTTATCGCGAAGGCCTCTATAAGGCGAAGGTATTTACGAAATTAGCAAGGGTACTTTTACTATAAAATTGAGCGCATATCACGGCACTTGCTTCCAATACGTATGCTTGAATATTCAAACTACTTGTAGATTAATAGATTACCCTGTAATTAGCCTACATTAAACCTCAAACTTAGCCAAAATCTTCAAAGTACAATATGTAACGTACAACATATTTTTGCGAATATCTTGGAAACTAAAATCGAGCGATGGTAACGCGTAATGATTCATTCAAGTTGCCCAGACCTGACCCAGACCTTAATCTATATAATTACCTAAACAACGTTTATATTCGTATGAGAACACAGCGCGTGTATGTGTGTGTATATATACATATGCCTAAATATCGACGCGGGAGAGCTGAGCGAACATAGTACTCGCGATAGAAAATAATAGAAAGAAGCTTGACGGCCATCTTGATTGCCAGAATATTGTCTGTGAAGCATTTTGCTTTTTCGCGACGATCGGGGTTCAGTTTTTATCAATCAATACTGAAACTACCGAGTTCTACAATCAATTTTACAGACGAAGACGCAAGGAAGTTGATGTGGATTCGAATTCATTCATCAGTTCCAAAAATTTCACGATTATGCCCTTTTTTAATACGTTGATTATGGTCACACGTTGGTCACTATTGACCGGTGCTTTTAATCTACGTGTACTTAATACTTGTAAATTTTTTAATAATGTCATTGACATTAAGAATACTATAAAATAATAAATACTCCACTGAACTATTGAATATTTCTATTCGTTAAGCTAGGAAAACTGGTGTGGCAGTTGACGTGTTAATGAAGCTACATAGTTTTAGGAAAATCATTCTATATTCCATGCTGTAATATTCTGTGGAACAACAGATAAATACTATTTTAAGATGATAATTGTAAAATGTTCGTGATAATATGTAATTCGAGGATTCTTTAAAAACGGTAAGAAATATCTGTGATTGATCGTCTAGAAAAACATATTTCATTCCACGTCGACTTCCTTGTACCTTCAACAAGACACTTAACTGAACGTGGTGGCACTTGAACAAGACACATTAAGATACCTTAATTTAGATACCAACACTTAATATCTTCAGCCAGAAGTAATTGTCTGTATTCGTTTAAACCATTCACGCTGTATAGGGGTATCACGATGAACATAGAAATTACTTTCTATAAGGTAAGGAAGCAGCGTAGTCCTTATTTTCTACTTGAAATACTATTTTCCACAGCTCCGATCGATAATACGTAACCCTAAGCATGGCATAAAATTAAACGTATCTACAATAATTTAAAGATTGCGATAAAGAACAGCGTCGTCCAAGGAACCCATTACGAATCGAGCACGAGTTTATCAAAATTTCGGATCGAACTTAAAAATTAGCGTCTTTAATCAAACGCTTTGTATTGCACTAAAGATGTCGATCGGAGGACCACGATTTTGAAACGCAATCGAACGAGATTATCGATTGCTTTCAATGTTTCCATTAATTTAAAAAAATTCTATTCGAAATATTTTCGATATAATTCATTGGATGATGTACAAAATAGCAAGACACGACTGATTTTTTTTTTGCATACATACTTGTGCAAACCAACATATCATGATCAGATACTTACTTTCTCCCAATAACTTCTTGCGCATGCGTTATTCTCAAAATCGCTTCGAATCAAGCTTGTTCATCTTCGCGAGCACTTTGAAACCGTACAAAAATTTCCATCAAGAGTGTTTAACGTTTCCTTAAAAGATCATCGTGCACGATACATGCAAAACTCAGAGAAACGATTCTTCTCTAAAGTTCGATCCCCCAATCGTTTCAAAACGACGCGGCAAAACCGCGAGCTGCGATTGTGCTTGGCCGAACGTAAATCAAACGAAACGAAGTTCGAAAAGGGAGTCCCTGGCCGCGGTTCCGTAAATAGGAATGACGCAATGATTCGCTCGCGCGCGAGCTTCGGAGGCAGCAACGTTGCAACATCACGTGAAATGCATAGGAGACACGAGGAGGTGCGAGCCTGCCGAACCGATTCGAAGAGACAAAAGAGAGAGAAAATAAAAGAACATAATTTACTCCACTATGATAGTGGCGAGTCGTTTGGGCCGCTTCCCAGCCTTCTGTTTCCGATGGAGGTCCCTGGAGTCGCCGCACGAGGTCTCGCTCGATTCCGTCGAACCGCCGTCGCCGTTTCCGGTCTGCTCCTCCAGTTTTCGCTTCCTGGACCTGGTCACGGGACCGATTCTGCTCTTGTGGATTCCGCTGTCCGCGTTCCTCTTGTGACGTTTCGATTGGGACTCGTCCTCGTCTTCGTCCCGCTTGCGTCGTTTCTTGGGGGTGTCCTGTTGCGTGATCCTCGGCGAGTTGGAGTCGGAGGAGGACGACAGGGAGCTGAGGTACTCGTTGACCTTGTCCTCGCCGAAATCGAAGGCGCTCGGTTGGGCCGGGGAGGCTGAGGTGGCGGGGTTCGTCGCCGCGCTGGGCGGTCGCAGGAGCAGAACAGACGGGCTGGAGGAAGCCGTGGACGCGGAGGAGGACACGGAGCTGGAAGTGGACCGTTTGTGGAGCTTCCTCCTCTGCGCTAGCCGCGCGCCGTCCACCTCGCGCAGCCTGAAACCTTCCGGCTTCTCGAGGAAGCTGGCGGTCGTGTTTACATCCAAGGTGATCACGTCAATGGAAGTACTGGATTCGGCCAGCCACGCGTGATTGGCTAACCCGTTCGCTGTCAGTCTTTTGGTCGGGTCGACGGTCAACAGACCCTTGGCGACCTGTTTCGCGAGGGTGGACACGTGGCTCCACGCCTCGCTGTCGAAGTCGATCTCACCCGCTCTGATCCTAGTGGCCAGGTCCGGGGAGCCTGTTCTGAACAGTGGCTTCCCCGACAGCATGGAGTACAGGATGGCCCCGAGGCTCCAGAGGTCGCAGCTCTGGTCGTAGCCTTGTCGGGCCACCACTTCCGGCGCGGCGTACGGAAGCGTGAAACAGGGCGTGTGCAGAGGCTCGCAGCCACGTTTCACCCTGGCGAAACCAAAGTCTACGATCTTTACCGAGGAGTCCTCGCTATCGTGAGCGAAGACTATGTTCTCGGGTTTGAGATCTCTGTGTACCACGCCTCGCGAGTGCATGAAGCGCACAGCCGACGCCAGGTGTCGCATTATCCTGCTGGCCTGTTGCTCCGTGAAGGGTCGCGGCCTGCGCAACAGTTCGCCCCCGGATAACAGCTCCATCACCAGGTACGTGTGAGCCCTGTCCTGATGGACCTCGATCAGCTTCACCACGTTCGGATGGCCCTGGCAGGTCCTCAGCAAGTTGGCCTCCCGTCCACAGTCGATCCTGCGACTGACGATCTTCACAGCGAACTCCTGCTGCGTTTTCCGATGCCTGCATTTGCGACAGACCGAGAAACTCCCGTCGCCGAGCGCCTCTTCGCGCGGGTCCAGCTCGTAGGTCTGGAAGAAGGTGGATTCCTCGAATCTGGCGGCCAGCACGTCCGACGCGGACGGTCGCTGGGACTCTGTGCTGGCTTTGGTCGCTTCCTTGAAGATGTCCTTGCTGACCACGTTGTCCCCGAAGAGAACAGAGGGCGCCACGTACGAGTAACCTCTGAAGATCTTGTCGTAATTGGGTGGCACGACCGCCGGACTATCCGCGGCTATCATTTTCGTGAACTCGTCGGAGAAGTTGCTGGTGTCCAGCTCGTGGGCGATGCGTGGAACGAAGGGTGGAGGGATCTGTCGTCTCTCCAGGGTCTGCCAGTTGAACGGAGGCGATGCTTTTCTAAAGAACGAATGTTCCTTCAACTCTCTGGCGTCATCGGGACCTCCGCCGAGCCTCTGTCGCGGATCCTTCACCAGCAAACGTAGGATAAAATCTTGTACGGTGGGGCTCAGATGGCTGGGGATGGGTGGATCGGTCTTCAGTATTCTTCGCGAGATATCCTGCTGGGTGTTCTTTTCTCCCTCGACCGTAAAAGGAGACGCGCCAGTCAGCAACTCGTACGTGAGCACGCCCACGCTCCACCAGTCCACCGCCTGAAAATTGTCCGTAATTCGATGGAATGTTTCACGGGGATTTCTGGATGCTTGGTGTCCTTGGGACCTTGCAACCTTTTGCACTGGATATGATTCAACGTTGGCATTTAATGCAGACTGAAGAGTCAGAGTCTGAGAAGTCAGATTTCAATGATCAGAATTGTTTAAAAGCTACTTCCTTATAGCTTCTTGTAGTGCTGAATCAACAAAGAATGAAATCCCAGTACAAAAGGTTTCAGTTTTAACGCATACAACAGCGAGTCTAATCTTAATCGTGGAAGCAATTCTTATTGGGGTACCTCAGGATTATTGAATGCTATTTTTAGAGGAGTTGTTTTTATGCAATTATCTTTCGTTAATGGATGAAAATAAAATGCCACGTGATACGTTCGCGTGCCGTTAATGGATGCTTCGACGACCGATTAAACGAAACAAACGACGGGACGATAAACATTGTATTTGACAGTGACAAGCTGAAGCGCGATAACGAAGTTCCAAGAACAGAAGGGAACAAATCGTGACGTAAATTCATCCTGACTCACAATATCGTGGCCCGCGGAGCCCCCTCGTACCACTTCCGGTGCCATATACTCGATAGTTCCGCAAAAGGAGTAAGCACGAGCGTTGCTGTCCCGTTCGTGCGGCAGAAACTCTTTGCTCAGCCCGAAATCTGTTAACACGATATGCCCTTCTCTGTCCAACAGAATGTTTTCTAATTTAATGTCCCTGTAAATAATTCCGAGCTGCAACAGAAAATTTCGTGGGCATCGTTAATACCGTGCAAGAGAAAAGGGAACGTTGTGGCATTGATGCTACAGGTAATATACAGGGTGTCTCGATTTATCGAAATAAACTAGAAATATCTTGCGGTATACTTGAATGAAATTTTGATAAAAACGAAACACCCTGTACACAGATCGTTAAACATTTATAAAATAAATATTCTCGAATTTATGATGGCGGTATTTTTGCAAAAGTTCATCGTTAACAGTACGCCAATCCAGTCTGCTCAAGATGATCAGAGGTCACATTTGTAAACAATTCCAAGGGCAAATTGTTTGTTGAAATTGAAAATATTTTGATCGAGTGTTCGACTTGTGCAGCATGTAAAATGAAACTTGTACAAGTGAGCCCTAATTTGAGAGCAGCGCGGATTGTAAATAAAATTTATAGTACGAAACTAACCGTTAAAAAGAGAAAGAAAAAAAAAAAAAAAGAAATAAAATTTTGGTACGGTGATATGATAAACGAAAGAATAGAATGCATTTCGATAGGGGAGAGAGAAAAATAAGATTTACTTTGTGCAGATGCTCTAGCGCCAAAATAACCTCTCCGATATAAATTCGCACTTCGTCCTCGGTGAAGTGTTCTCGTTGATACAAATGTGTAAACAACTCCCCGCCGCTGACATAATCTGCAAACGCAAACGATCATGTTGTTTAACCATTTTCAGAGCTAAATCGAGCAATATTCTTCGAAGCACGGTGACGCCTGGTTCCATAAACACCTATTTGCGTACCGTCGCGAAGAATCAAAATGGCCGATCGAAAACACGAACGGCGTATAAAAAAGAAAAGTTACTAAAACTTTAAAACGTAACAATGATTCCTTTATTCTACTTGTGTCTTTCAAATGCGTCGACGAAACGATGGGCTGTAACGCATGGAACGTTGCATATAATGTTTCTGCCATCTTGTCTGAACAAAAAGTCCCTAGGAATTTTGTCTCGATGAAAAGTATTTAATATGTTTTGCTTTTGGATCGTTTCGATCATCAGCTTGCGTTCTTCTCTGGATAGAAAGTCCCTAAAAAGTCTTTATTATACATTTCTTTGCTTGTCCGTTGATGTTTTCTAATACCACTTGAACAATCTAAAAAAAGGTAGAGAACTTTCTAGATCAGGAATGTATAGGAAACGACTCAGAATCCATATGAAAAAGAGGCTTCATATTTCACTTTGCATCTTTTAAACCATCATCTGGTATTCTTTTGACGACAGAGGAATTCTAATGCATGTATTCAAATTTTATTGCTTCACTGCCAAGATTTATCACTCGCAGATTGATCATCCTCTCTGCTGCCTGAATATTTTGTCAAAAAGACTGCCTTGCGTAATCACGAAGCTACAGAAAACATTCAGAATCCATCGAATCTGCTCCAAAAGTTCATGCAGATGAAACTCGAAAGACCTGTACGATTCATTGGCGAGAGTATTATACAGAAAATGGTAATTAGAGCAAAACGTCCATTATCAAAAGTAGTAAGAGGACATTTTGGTTCGGATCGAAGAATATTTCTATTGGATTAATAATCAAATTTCCTTTAATGTTCTTTCTTTTAGGAAAACTGTGGACACTTTTGAATAATGAAAATAAAATGACTCTTCGTGATAATATGGATAGCGGAGATTCTGCTGTATTTCGAAGAAGAAATTTGTTCAACAATGTTTCTGTTTCATGCGTTTCAACCCACTGGCAAGAATGAAAGAACCATTCGAGGGATTAATGATCCAACGAAGCTTCTGAGGCGTTTTACCTAAAATCAAATGGAGCTTCGCATCCGTCTGAAAGGCGTAATGCAACGTTACTAAAAAAGGACTGTCTCGAACGGCCTCCAGAACTTGTCTCTCCGTCTTCGTGTGCTCCGTCGTCTTCTTCTTTTGCACGATGGACGCTTTCTTCAGGACTTTCATGGCGTAAAGACGACCAGCGTCGGTGCCCGTTCTCTTTCGCACCAGGAACACCTTTCCGTAAGCTGCACAAAAATTTTCACGTCTCGTGTACTCCAACTTTCGTTCCATCGCGTTCTCAAATAATGTTTATCGCAAAATTCTCGAGCAATATTGTTCTTCGATAATATACACAGAACAGTTTCGTTCTCCGCAAAAGACAACTAATGAATCTTATTTTTAAAAATAAAAAAATTAAGATTGCTTTGAAATTTGAAATTTGAAATTTTTAGAACTATTACGCAAGCATAATTCTCGTTGGAAGAGAAATAGCAAGACTTTCTCTCCTTACGTTTATTTCTTACGCCATACGTTTACAAGAAAAGTTGCTAATAACGCGAGCACATTGTGTAATAAACGTTATTTGAGTATCTGACAGGCTTCGTCGCTGATTTAACGACTTCAACAAAGTATTTCGTTCACGTACCTCCAGTTCCAAGGACTTTCAACAAATCGAAGTGCGTCATATCTACCCTCTGGCCCCCACTGTCTTCCAGGTTTACTGCAACGAACAAAATTATTTTCGATCATTACAGATTGAACGTGATCGTCGAAACATCGGATCGAGGTCAGAAATAAAAATCTAGCGAAATTATATTTAAATTTAATTTCGTACCAGTAAAAGTCGGCAATCAATCGATTGATAAAAGGAGCACATATTTTTATCAACCAACGTCCAATTTTAAATTAATCATATTTGTCGTATTCGTATTTATTTAGTTGCGTTGGGAGCATAAGTAATCGAAATTAGGTTTTGTAACAGCACTTTGGCTGCACCATGTCTCTTATCCGTTTTCTTTTTATTTTCCTTCCTCCGCATCTTTATCGTTTCTGCGTTATTGCAACTGCGTGCAACAAGGACGTGAAATGAAAAAGATGAAACAAATACAACCGTTTCTCGCAAACATGATACATATAACAGTGATAGAGGTCAGGAGTCGAGAACAGAGTTCAAAGGAAGTACGGTTCCTATGTTCTATCGTACGAATGGCTCTCGAAGTATCGGCCACTTTATCGAACGGTGAAAAGAAGTGATCGTTTAATCGTTTCGAGCAATGTACTTGTGTTACTCTCGGAGGGAAAAAAGAACACGCTTGACGAGTACTTTCATCTGGACTCGGTTATCGAAATACTGTTAACTGAACTTTCTATTTGAATGCCTTCGGTCGGACTTTCGATCGTTCGGAACTTTCGAATAACCGACGGATTAACCTAGTCGATTAACAGGAAACGTTTACGTATTTTCCTGTTGATTAGAAAAATCGAGATGTCGCGAAAACTGTGAACGGTTTCACGTCGCCGAGGCACAGTGGAACGTTAACGCTTCTCGTTGCATAATGTTGTGTTTATAAAACACCTATCGTTCACAGTTGACCTTTTAATCATTCGTTGCATGAATATTTTCATAAACATATTACAACGAAGCTTGTTATTCGAGTATTTTTGAGTTTACAGAAGTCCAGAGTTGAAAATACCGAACTCAAATGGCGGATTCGAGAATCGATAATTAAGATGGCGATCGATCCAATATGGCGGTTGGAATATACAAACTCAATCGTATTTGCTTGAAAATTGCTGCTAGGGGGTTTTTCGGGTCGCTGAATACAAATTTGAAGTTGAAAATATGGACTTGAAAATGGCAGTACCTAACCACGTGCTTATTATAATACAATCCTCTGCTGAATCCAAGTTATATTTGAAATAAGATAGATTAGTTTTGAATTATCCTGTGTGAGGGAGAGGGATATGTACTATGTTTTTGGAAATTTAGATAACATGAAAGCTAGGTCTGTGTTAAGATAAGTTGTTGAATCTAGATTATGTCTGCAAAGATTAACTTTGCACTAGGTGTGTGTTAGACCAAGATAGGTCTATGTAATTTATCTAAACTGGGAGTGTCTGGAGATTAGTTGGACTAGGATAAGCTGGGTCTGTGTGAAAGTAATGTAAGTCTGCAGTAAATGTCTTCCGAATCTAAGTTACGATTGAGTTAAACAACAGGCAATGTCTAGGTTCTCTGTTAAGACGAATTAAATAACTATTTACCGTATCTAAGTAAAATTTGGGTGTGGGTTGGACTAAAACGGTTGACAGTGTCTGAACACCGGTTAGGCGAGGATAGATCTGGACAATCTAAGCTAGGTTTGTTAAAATGAGTGAAGTCTACAACAATTCCCTGCTGAATCTGGGTTATGTCTACGTAAGGATGGCTTTAGATTACGTGTGAGTTGAATTGAAGTAAATTTAGACAACGTTTAGCTTGAGTCAGTATTAAAATGATTTATATCGAAAACAGTGATTGTTGAATCTGGGTTATATCAGTATAATTAACTCTGAATTAGGTGTAATTTACGTTAGGATATGTATAGGTCATGCCTAAGCTAACTCTGAAGTAGAATGGTTCGAATCTAGGGTAGACCTATGCTGTATCTAGGTTAGCTCTGGCTTGGCTTGGTTACATCTGGATTAGGTCTAGGATATATCTAGGCCTGTAAAAAATATGTAACTTAACCCAACTCGCATTTCCAAACGGTCGTTTCACGCGTCTCTGTGCATTTTTCTGTCGGAATTTTTGGCACATTTTACACGTATACAAACAGAGTTCCATCAAATCAAAACACTAAACTGAGTTTGTGTTAGATGGTCGACATATTGCTATAATAGATAGAGCAGATACAATTGAACATAAGAATAAACGGAACAGGTATAGCAGGCATAATAAATGGAGCATATAGAGCAGCTAGAGCAAATAGAACAAATGTGCAGGTCTCAGATAGGTTTCCAAAGACAAAAAACATTGACCCAACAAATGGGAACGGGTGTGCTCTAAACCTGGATCATTTTTTGATAATTTGACTAATTTGGTGTTAACGAAGGTGACATCGTTGCTCAAAACGACTAACGCGTTGCACGTGCGTCTCTATATTTCCTTTGGACACGAAATTCTTGAAGGAGGCACACACGACTTACGAAATGACCCGATATCGAAGAGACCAACACGGTTACACAATGTGCGAGACTCAAGCTCGGGAATGTCGTTTTAAAACAGACGATGCTGCACGAGTTGTAACCTCGTGGCAATTTTAGCACGAAGAATAAGTAGTCCACTAATTATAACGGGTGTAACATAATTGATTGGAACTGTAGATAGGTGTAAACGAAACGGCTCCGATCGTTGGAAAGGTGCGAGGATCCGTTGTTAACTCCCTCGATTAAGTTTCTGCTCTAATTGATTCGCGTTTTCTGCTCGCGTAAATCGATAAACCGCCTTGATTTCGTTACGAAACAACGGGTCCACCATTTTTCTCCCGTCCGGCTCGGGTTTGGGAAACGCCGTCACCTTTTTTTTTTATTCTTTTTTTTTGTTTGTTTCTTCAGACCTTGCGAAATTATCGGAGGCCGGGGCGCTTTCGTGATCGCTTTGTTAAAACCGTATTTTCGCCGATAAGACACCGAGAATTTCCAGCGAAATCTAATTTTAATCAACGTTTCGCTTTATTTTTAAACCGAACATCGGCTGTTCGCGTTGTACAGGACGTCTCAAAAATCCAGCGACAACTTCATAGCCTGCAATTCCTTGGAAAAGCTTATTACAAAATGGGGTACTCGGTTTATAATGAAAAGGCGAAGAGTAATATAAATTAATGTAATATTTATAAAATAAAAATGAGATGCTAAGGTAAAAGCTGTTTAACATTGAATTAAAACAACTTCATGAATCTAAGAGAGTATTAAAGATGGTTGCAAATTATTTAATTGCAATTAAAACCACTATTCTTAATAAACTTCGATAAAATGTTACGCCAGTAATTTACAGCAAGTCATTAACGTTGATCGCGTGCACGAAGAAAATCACTGCGTCATCCTTGTTTTCATCGAATTCGTGAAATATATACTATTATCCAGCCACGTTTTGTCGGCGTCCTATTATTATACTGTCTGTTTGCGCCCCACTTCTGAATTAATCAAAACATAGCTATCGCGCGAAGAAGCCTTGTATCAAGCGTGTATCAGACAGAATGATTAGACAACTTTTGAATCGATATCCGGAGACCGTTTATCATGCCAGAAAACCCAGACAAGGTCGAGCAAGGTGATTGCAAAAACGATCATCCAGCGAGCCTGTCGGATAAAATAATTCCTCGCGACCACTGTGTGATCTTCTATGGGAGATACATCGAATAAAAAACACTCGATATACTTGTTTGCCAAACTCGAGAACGTAATCGAATATTATTTTTGTCCTTTTCTCCAACGTGGAACGCACTAAAAATACCATTTCTTTCCGAATACGCGAAACGTGGTTCTTTGTTGGCAACGCCACCTCTCGCGAAGGTCTCGACGTATAATTTGATTTATACTTTTTTATTTGCGTTAAACAGCGATACGCGTCCACCGCGAGCTTCCATTCCTTTCTTTTTTTTTTTTTATATATATATAAATTTATGTATTCGCACGGATCGCAGATTAGAACGGGAAATATATGGTTAAGTTAAACACCGCCATTGCGCTGCAATCAAATTTGAAATATCAAGGTTTGAACACGCTTTACGCCGTGTGCTTTTATCGAGTGTACCAGTGCTTCTCAACCTGTTCTGGCTCGTGGCACCTATCCAAGTTTTATTTATCACCGTGCCTCCCACTGTTCGTGGATTAAATAATAATAGATCGGTTGCTTATTTATAATACGTATAATGTATTATTTGTATCGCCATTAAATCATTTATACGTAGAGTAATATGATTCAATTTACACTTTTACTTCTCCGTTCCTCAGCGTACACGTCACGCTTATATTGTAGTATGTCTTCCTACTCGTGCTTGGTTCAGTTCATCGCCAACAAATGTTACTACTTTGTGCACGAGATATCACGTGCTGGGCAATACTCGATGCGTATCCGTGGATTGAGTGCACTCCGAACGGTGCAGAGACAGACGAAACGCGAAAGACAAAGACAGTGACGGACAGAGAGAGATTTGTCATCCATCACAGTGTGGCAAGATCATGCAAGATCGCGAAATATCACGCGGAACGCTGGTTATTCGAGGTATCGTGTGCAAAGGTGCATGCACCTGCAGTGCTGCTAATACCAGCAGGTGTGCGGGCGCGAATGAGTGCGCGCGCAACATAAATATCCACCGGGAGCGCAGCTGGATATTTAAAAACACGCGGCAAACCAACGAACGCGGCAGACGCGCCGCGTAATTCGACCGTGTCGCTACGCGCCGATTTTGATTAGTTTAAGTCACCGATGTCTCGAGTCATTAAATTTCCACACGTTCTGCACAACAAAATTAGAAGTATTTAGTATTGAACAGCAAAAAATAAATAAAAGTAAACGATATATCGTATTCCGGCTCCAATCAAACCGTGTAACACGAAACGACTCGCGACTCATCGTTCTGTAAATCGATCCATAATCATGATTCTGTTCCACGAACAGACGAATCGGTCGAGAAACGAAGAAATAACGATATCGAGCCTTCGCTTAACGTCTGGGATTTCATTTCGAAACACGTCACCGGTCTGCTTTCACTTTCGCGCTTCTCCGTCCCAGTTTTGCGTAACTTTTTCTTTTATTTCGTCCCTTTTTCTTTTTTTTATCTCCCGTACACGTAGCACGAACCGCGAAATTTCAACAGCCTGGTCGAAACTTGCGTACGCGACACGTCGATTCGAGTCGAACTGCGCGCGCCGAATGCCGGGGATTCCCGCGGAAAAAATGCGAAACGTTCTGCAGACGGCTAGAAAGCAGATTTCTCTGCAGGGAATCGCGAATTAGAAGCTGTAGATCTCTCGGGTACCGCGAAGTTTGTAGTAAATTGAAATATTTGTAACAAGACTTCGTATATTTATTATTAAAGTACTCTGTTTACGCGTGACACAAATAATAATTCCAAATATGTAGGCGTATGGGTACGGTGAAAACGAAAAGGTTAATTCTAAAGTCACCTTCGTGGCTACAAAATGGCAGTTCAAGATAATAATGGATACTATTTTTAACTGATCTCATTATTTATTCATGCTGCAACACCGTGAACGAGAAAAACGGCTGAACTTTCCCACAGATCTAACGTTTTTCTCCACCTACAAAGTTATATTAAAATCCATACGTAACACGGTCTGCGCACAGTATTATTATCAGTGTCTTCGAAAGTAGGGGGCGTGACCGCTAGGGGGTCGCCGAACAGTGGCGTCAAAGAAAATTGCAAATAACCGAAACATTTTAAGTTTAACTGCAGACAAATGATTGTTAAAATTGTTTCTTTGCCCGCAGCCGTCAGTTATTAACAATTATTTTTAATCGGTTGCAAATTGAAATAACCTTTAGAAAGATAAAGGTTATGTTGAACCCGTTTCGACCGATGCATAACCAGAGCGAAGCCAGTTATTTTCGGAACCTTTTTAATCCCTGGTTAAAAGCCGATCGAGGGATCGTATTTCGCGTCGAAACGTTCCACGAAAAGCATGGAAACTCGTGGCGGTACGGACAAGTGGGTCGTAAGAAGACATTCGAATCCACGAACTGGCGGCTCGTAATCTAGATACATAGAGGGACAGACAGGTAGAGGTGTGTGCACGAATGCGTCGGTGACACTCGAGTGCGCTCGTGGTCGCTTTTACTACCTTGACATGGATTCTCGGCTGGCAGTCAGGGCCGGGGACACGCGAGAAGGACCCCCGGCGTGTTAATTTCACGCGGAAACCCTTTCGACGAAAATTCGACCGACGCGGAATGCCTCTTGCTCGCTCGTGAAACCGACTTCTTCGCGCCTGCAAAAGGTATTACGCGGCTCCAGTTGCGCCGTGATGTAACTCGAAGTCGAGGCGAACCGGGTAAATGTATCTCTGCGCATTTAAGTCGACGGTGTCCGATGTATTTGGAAAATAAAGCAACTTACTGGACTCCTACTGGGGACAGGAATAATTTTAGCGCCTTAATATTCCTTATTAGGAAAAGTTTAGCCTGCCTCGTAAAGTAACGAACGAGTATTCAAATTTGGTTCCGAACCTGCTAACCGCGGACAAGTTAGCGCGTACGAAATATATGTTTCTAGAGGCCAAAATAAGACGAAAATCAAGAATACCAATTTGTTGAACGAGGCTTCGTTAAAAGGCTATTAACAAAATTATTGTTTTTTTCGAAAGTCGATTTCTTTTCTCGAAAGTGGGTAGGATTTCAAGGGTATGTCTATTGACCAAAAATGATTGTAATTAACCCCTGGAACTAAAAATAATTTTTGTAGAACGATTTGAAATTTTTCAATTTCGCCGAAAAATTGTTCGGTAGGTATGGAACTTTAAACGTTAATAACTTTTTAACGAAGCCTCAATCGACAAATTGGTATCCTTGATTTTCGTCTTATTTTGGTCCCCAAAATCTCCCATTCAAATTTTTATTTATTATTTATAAAGTTCGTTTTTGTTGATGCGAAAAATTCAGGATAAAATCTCGTTTGGTACGAAGCCAAGAATACCACGATTTGTGTTTTTTCTCTTAAAGGAGATTTCGAGAGACGATCGACGCAACGGGATAAAATTATCTGGTGATCGTAGAAAAATGGAAATTGCTCGACTCGATTTACGATGTGGCACTTCTGTCGCGAAGAAAACCGCACGAGAGCACAGTTTTAGTTGTACGCAAACAGCCAGAGCAAACAATCGAAGCAATTGATTTGCTCGGTAACAGCTGCCAATGAATATTCAAACTAAAACACATCCGTACAAACTCGACGTATCGTTGGCGCGTGGAGCACGTGCGTTAGGCAACCAACGATACAAAACGGTCCGCTATTGAAAATGTTAAGCAACGAGTTATTACATAACATTATACGCGACTATTAATTACATCGATATACTTATTTATCTGCTCGATTCGCATTCGCGCACGTGTACGATTTACGCTCAATTCGCTATCTTAACGATATACACCTTTCGATAATTATTTACGATCGTTGTTCCCTTCGAGGTCCTCTGCAACGCCACGAGGAAACAAGTAAACGCTAACGACGAATTTGTCGTGTCTGATACGCACCGAGGTCGCTACGCAAGTGAGAAAGACAAAGCATCGTATGGAAAAATAGTATTCTACATTTTCGACGTGTCCGCGTCTACGATTACCTCGAACGATACTGACCACCAGATGGTAACCATTCTGTGTAGAAATAACACTCAGAAATACACGAATACTATTTTGATTCTTGCAATTATATTTAAATAGTATTTGCAACGTTCGAATATTTGTCCTGGCCCCATTCAAAAGTCACGGATAACAGTGGGCATACCGTGCATCGTTGTAACTCTGATCGACCTTCTTATTTTTGTGTCCATCGATTCATCGATCGTGAAGGTCCGCGTTACGTCGGAAATGTCACGTTCCTTGATTATTTTGTATAATAGAACTACCCACCCAACGTGCTAATAGTAAACGGGAGAATGGTATACGATATTAAGTGCACGTGTAGTCTTGGCTTTCGTCGAGCGAAAGAAAGTAGTCTGTCCCGTTACGAAATAGCGAGTGAATGTCGGCTATCTGGGTCAGACAAAAGCGGAACTTCCGCAACTACTCGACGACTGCCGAACTGTTTAACCTAAAGCAGCGGTTCAATTTTTTATGCGCTCTTTAACGAAACAGTCGTGTCTGTCTAGGGACAGTACCCTTTCCCCTTAAATTTCTGTACTGGAAACGATCCTAACCTAACCCCTTATACCAGTCTTTTTCGAAATTAATTTAATTATAGTATGCACTATAATTTAGTATCGTTTCCCATTTGCATCATTTAATTAATTAAATCTTAGCGAAACGTCGTTTAGAAATGGCGATGGAGAATCCGGTTGGCGCAAACCGATTAAATTTTAACGTCCGGTTTAATATACGCGAAACTAGTCCTCAACCGGTGGTCGATAAATTTTCTATCGTCAACAATACGCGATACAACAACGTAAAAACATGTTCGAAATCGTTAGTCGCTGCGTGTACGTGGAACGGTGCAAAAAGGCATCAAAGGCGAGGCACAGCTGCTCAGTTATTAAACCTAACCTACAATGACGAAACGTCTTCGATTCGTCGAAGCGTACACGGCGTCGCGATCGTTTGGAAACGAGCTCCCTCGATTAAGACAAAGCTCTTCTCAAAAATACGCTCTCGTAGCTCGAGGAATCGCTCGAACTCGTCTATATTTAACTCTCTCGATTTAAATTTCAGAATATCGTTTCACAATTTTCATGAATTCGTCGCGCTCTCGAGGCCCCCGTGGTCGACCGTAGCCTCTAACTTCTAAATCGAGATGTTTACTCGTACAAAGTAGTTGGCTCGCTCCCGTGAATCGTTCGAATTAACATACGCTAAGCGCGCAGGGACGAAGTACAAAGTGCGAGTTTTCGCTTCGAATAAACGAACGTCGTCGATTTCATCGCGTCTTCTGTCCAACTGGGAACACAGGGGAAGGGGAACGTGGCTCCCTCCCCGCGCGAACGGATTTTTTTCACAACAGAGTCGAGCTTTTGAAAGGATTTCTCGGAACAAAGGCGATATGCACACGCGCGTACGAGTAGAGGAGGAGGAGGAGGACGAGGAGGCTTTTACAAACGTAAAAGGTGAAACGCAGAACTGCAAAAGGGTCCACTTTTCACGCGCGAACGGATATCTCGAGTTGTATCGCTAACTTTTCGCCGGAGACTACATTTTGCACGCAGACCGTTCGCGAGAAAATATTAAAAAGAGAAAAGTTTCATTGTTTTCTAAAATCTACTTGGAACTGAGAGTGAAAATATTCACAAGTTGTACAGCAAAAATTTTTGTTAATGAATTCTAATTTATGAACGGTATGCCGACGAAAGGTAATTTACGAACGAATATAAAATTTGTACTCGTTAGTCCGGAAATAAAAATTGCCTAATTCTGTGTTTCAGCGTTGGCCTCGCCGCTCGAAAGGCACGTGGAATAACGTAACCCAATCTCGTATCAAACGATACATTAAACGTCGAAACAAACTTTTCCGCGCACGTTTGGCGTGGATCAGCGTTAAATTCGATCCGCGGGATATGTGAAAGTCGCAGAAATGGGAGCTCGAAAGCAAAGGAAATTAGCTGTGAGTCAAGCGATGTTATGATTCTTCCCGTTATCCCTGGCCTAACCTAAACTGATTATTTCGATAAAAATTATCAACACGTTTTTTGCTTTGTTGTTTATCGCGGATAAAATTGCTCAGATACATATTCCTTGAACTTTTCGGGGCAAGAAGTTCGTGTATCGACCATGAACACCATAGACATAACCTCAACAAAATAAAATACGATTCTAGAATATTACACGTGACTCGATGTTTCATTTTCTTTTTTAGGTTTTTTAAATTATTAATATATATCGTCTTTATTACGCAAATAAGGAAAGTATACGCGATATATCAAATAGAACAATATTGCGTAAAGTCGATGATTGCTTTCGAACCTAACCTCAATAATATTGCATACGCGCTTAATCAGTTTATTTTCACGTAAACAACATTCTGCCGCAAGGACACATTTATTAATCGAAGTTGCAGAAAAATGTAGAAACAAAGAAACCGACGAGTTATCTTCTTACATGAGTATATGTATAATTGCAAGATAAAGAAAAAGAACGTGACATTTTATTTGGCATGATCTGGCAATGGTATCTATCGCGTTTAATTGACGTGCAACGTACGTAAGAAAGTGACCGCTTATCTGGGGTCGAAGTTGGTTGGTGGACTTCTTGTTTTCGAGAAATCGCATATACACGAAACGAGCAACAGTGGTGTGATCCGACGAGGCTTAGGATATATTAAAAATAGACGTTGGGCCACGGATTAAATATTTCAAACCAGCCTAGACCGACCAGGGAATACCATTAAAGACTCGATCGACATTTTCCAGCAAATTCATCGGCATAATTCAGGGGATCAATCGAATCGCTAGCGCTGACCATAAAATGTACTAACGGTACGAAACTAGAGAACGTAAAGGTCACGATTTCTGTGTCCGCAAACTTCGCCAAACGCTACACCGAAATATTTACTTCGTTTCGAAGGCCATTTGTTTCCTAGCGTTTCTTAAATTTAAAATAGAAAATCGATGCTGCTGAGTGCAATCAGGGAATATTATTAATTGATAACTCTATGCTGCACTTACTGGAAAGTAAAATAATATTATTACGTTAAATACACAGCAACTCCGTCGTCCGTGAAACCTGGTTCGCGATTTCCTAACTGTTTCGAGCAGTTTATCGTCGATTTATAGAAAACCGTGGGTTCTCGTAATGCATATATAATTAACGTGCAAGAGTTTTTAATAATTTTGAATGGTTCCGAGCGAGTCACTCGATACGCCCTTCGTGAAAACAGTATAAATGGGCATGCACGGTCGGTTTACCGTGGCACAACCGTTATTTGATACGGTACTGCCTTGCGTTACACGCATTCCTCTTCCTTGCCTCGACGCCAGGTAAATCGTGCACGTGTACCGGTACACGTGCGGGGCCAAAGTTTCGTCGTACGAACGCAACTATTGCCTCGCTTAATTAAGGCGAGATAAAAACAAAATGGCCATATCCGAATCCGGGTGTCGAAACCGCGGGGGATGGCTGAAAAGAAACCTTCGCGACGGAAACGCTCGTCGAGGACAATGGTGCGCGAAACAGTTACAAACGAGGCGAACGTAATTATTTGTTGTCGCTGTGAAACAAACGATAACATGGTTAACCGTAACCAACGTATAGTAATCGCCGTTAATGTACCAGCAGGGTCACCGGTGGTTACCCTTTAAAACTGGTTTCTACTTTCGTTACTAGGAGGCATATCGCCACGTGCGGTGTCCTACGATAATGTGACTGCCTCGCCACGCTGTAAATATCGACCAACTTAAACGAAATGTCGAGCGTGGGTCATTCGGTAACCCACGCGACGGTAGAATATTAATGATATTACGAAGTGTCTCGTAATAATATACCACCTACACCGTGCAAGTTGCAAACGGCCTGCAGAGACGAGCCGA